TCTACCCAGACGTCAAAGTCAATGGCCCGACCCTCAGCGTCAAAAGCGAGGACACTAGGGGTAGCCATGATAGCAGTAGACTAGCAGCGGGGCCGTAAGAGCGGCTCAAGGGGCCGTGAGAGAGGCCGCTAAGGGCGGCGCGACGGTAGGGAGGGCACGCGAGGCGCGCACGACTCGGTCTAGGGTGAAGCGCGCTCCGGGCAGGGGAAAAAGTATCGTGGTGGGCCCTAGGTAGCGTTCCCACTAGGGAACCTGCTCGATACCATGAGAAGAAACGAGAATGAATGAACTATGAAAGAGTTGGGTACAAGTACTAATTTTTATTGGGTTGTACCCCTTATGGGCTACCCCACTACAGCCTACACAAATGTATAAGCTATAATGTTCTGACACATTCTGGATTTCCCGATGGGAGAGGAGGTTATTTCGGAGGGTGGGGATGTGGAGACCAGTTACCTTGTCGGAGGGGAAGATTGTGCAGGGGAGAGTGGAGAGGTGTGTGCATGGGATGGTGAAACTGCTGTCAGCACCGTGAACCTGAGTGGGAGGAGAGAGGGGTGTGAGTGTACCAGCATCCTTGAGAGCAATCTCAGTGGCCCTACTATCAAGGACGAAGTCCAGAGTGGGTGGGGAGGAGGAGGAAGAAATCGAGTACTGGAAAGTGGTTTCATTAATGTTGGATGGGTACATAGAAGGAAGAGAGGGGGAGATAGCAATGTTGCCAAGGAAACTTTCCTGGGTGAAGGGAGTGACAACGCCACTGGGAGGAGGTGGGGCACCCCACAGGGGAGCAGGGGAGTGTCAGAATCCCAACCACTAGACCATTGGGATAAAAGGGCTTGTTAAGTAGCGGGTCAGTGCGCCCATAACCCCCCAGGCCAACGTGCCTGTAACCCTTCCCTAGGATCAATCGGGGATCACCAGTGGACCTCTGACACCCCCCCGCACTGAGATGCCCGAAGTGCACACACCAGCATTCGAACCCGAGACTTTCGCTCTGATACCATGTCAGAATACAGAAGTGATGAACTAGAAACATTTGGGAGTACAAGTATGAAACCCTAGAGAAATGTACCCCCTAAAGGTTAACCCACTGTAGCCTACAAAACAGTAACATATACAATGTTTGACAGGGAGGTCTGAGCAGCTGTGGCTGCTGTGCCAAAGTTCTGCTGCTACTGCTAGGGGGTAGTGCTGGGTCCCCACTGGGGTGGGAGCCCAGGTCCCCATGGGGGCTGCTGCTGCTGCTGCTGCTGCGGTGGCTGCTGCTGGAACAGGTGTTGCTGCTGCTGCTGCTGCTGCTGAAGATTGAGAACGGCGTGGGGGGAGCAAGGAGGCGGAGGTGGGCAGGGAGATAAGCAGGGTTGGTTTGGATGTTAGTAGGGGAGGGACGTGGGGAGATGGTACCCCAGCGGGGAGGTGTGCCTACGTTGCCCCGCGCGTACCAGGCATCATCGAGAGCCTTGAAGCACGTGCTAGGAGGATGGTTGGTTTGACCGCAGGGTGTTCCTGCCCGAGGACCGTAGCGAAGGACATAGGTGCAGGGAGGGAGAGTGCCAGGGCGGGTCCCACGGTTCCCAGAGGGACCGCCCTGACTGGGGGTGCCGTGCTCATCCCTGGTGGAGCCACCACGGCTGCTTGCGCTGCTGCTTCCTTGACCGCTGCTTCCCTTGCCCCCACCTCCCCCTTTGCCGATGCCTTTGCCCTGCTTGCGGGGCTGGGTAGCGTTGAAAGAGGAGGAGGAAGGTTGGGAGGAGGCGAGGTTGACTATAGGGGTGCGAAGTTTGACTTCGGTATCGATGATCCACTGTTCAACAGAAGCGAGATCGGCCATGGGATTGGCCTCGGTAAAGGCGTGAAGGCGGGATTCATAGTCTCGGGTGAGGTTGAAGAGGAGGCGATGGATTTGGAGGGGTTCGGAGAGGCCGGCTTGGCAGGCTTCGAGGCAATCGGCTACCTCTCGCATGCGGCCGACATAGTCTACAGCTCCGTCACAGGTGGCGAGGGTAACGGAAAAATATTCTTGGAAGAGGATTCCAACCGAGTTGATGTCACGGCGTTCGAACATAGCATGTAGTTCCCGAGCCTGGAAGCGGCGCATGAGGGAGTCAGGGAGAGCACCAAGAATGACGGTGCAAGCTCGGTCGTCAGCGGCTGACCAGGCGATGAACTTTGGAGTGAAGGAAGCCACATCTTCGTTGTATTTGGCGACGACGACGAGGTGAGCATTGCGGCCAGCAACCGCCTGGGCGTAGGCATCAGCTGCTGCATCGTATTCAGCTTTGCGGATGAGGTAGGCATGGCGACGCATAATGAAATCTTCATCTGCGGTAGCTTGGTCGGCGGTGGCCTGGAGCTCGGGCTCAAGGGGAGGATCGCCAGGAGAGGGAGGGAGAGGAGGGGTCTCGCCGGGGTGGTCAGGTTCGGTGGGGGGGAGGGCATGGGGGCGGCGGAGGATTACGTCAAGGACGTGGTAGGGGGGGACTCATGCGTCGTTGAGGATTCGGCGGATGCTGCCGACAAACATATGCCAGTTAATGGCAGATTTGTCAGCTGCAAGCTGCAGTTTGTCAATGGAGGAAGTATCGATAGGAGGAGGGAGGGGGGAGGGAGAGGGCATGGGGTTAGCCATGAGGGACGGCTGCGGGTGGACCCGCAGTGGTCACGGAAGCGCGCAGGCGGCGGCAGCTGGCGGGGCTGCTGTGGCGTAGGAGCGGAAGCGGTGGGGAGGTGGAGGAATGGCGCAGGCGGCGGCGGTCAGTAGGACCGTGACAGCACATGCGCGGATGTGGAGACGAGGCCGCGGAGGGGGGGGGGGGAGGGGGGGGGGGGGGAGGAGGGATGGCGCGGGCGACGGCGGCTGGTGAGGCCGCGGCGACGGTCGGCGCGGAGGCGGTTACGAGGCCGCTGAGCGGCGCGAGGTGGCGACGGCTGGCGAGGCCGCGACGGACGCAGGCGCGGAGGCGGCGACGAGGCCACGGAGGGGAGCGGCGCGGGCGGGTGGCGGCTGGCGAGGCCGCGGCAACGCGGGCGCGGAGGCGGCGACGAGGCCACGAAGGGGAGTGGCGCGGGCGGCGGCGACTGGCGAGGCCGTGGCGACGCGGGCGCGGAGGCGACGACGAGGTCGCAGAGGGGGGGGGGGGGGGGGGGGGGGGGGAGGCGCGGGCAACGGTGGCTGGTGAGGCCGCGGCGACGACAGGCGCGGAGGCGGCGACGAGGCCGCGGAGCGGCGCGAGGTGGCGGCGGCTCGCGAGGCCGCGGCGAACGCAGGCGCGGAGGCGGCGAGGAGGCCGCGGAGGGGAGCGGCGCGGGCAGCGGCGGCTGGCGAGGCCGTAGCGACGCGGGCGCGGAGGCGGCGACGGGGCCGCGGAAGGGAATGGCGCGGGCGGCGGCGGCTGGCGAGGCTGCGGCGACGGCAGGCGGGGAGGCGGCAGCTAGGCTGCTCAAGGAAAAAAGCGCTAAGGAGGGGGGGAAGGCGGCGGAGTAGCCGGGAAAAAAAAAAATGAAGGGAGGAGGCCGGGGGTTGCGGCGGCCGAGTGGGCCTTTGAAACGAGAGGAGTAGGCCTAGGATAGTGAGCTCTATACCATGTGGGAAACAAGAGTTAGAATAGAAGTTTATGCTTTGATTGAGAATCATGGGGGTATACATAGTAGGGGGTTGGATACTAGCCTAGGTTAGCATTATTGGCCATGAGCAGGGGGCGAACTTGAACATGTTCGTGTTCGCCCCCTGACGAACATGGCCATCTGCCGAACCGAACACTGTTCGGTTCGGCGAACGACTTGAGTGAAAATAGGTGTTCGCCGTTCGCCCTAGGAGGCGAACGAATGGCTGCAACAGGTGAACACGAACATGTTCGTGGCGAACATGTTCGTGTTCGCCCAGGGGGAAATTCAGTATAGAGTAAAATTCAAATCGTTGCACATTCCCTCCCCCCACCTCCCAAGCCAGTCCCGCCTTGCTTCATCCATCTAGTGCCAGCGTGCAACGGCGAAATGCTAGATCCGCACTTAAGCAACGGCGAAATGCTAGATCCGCACTTGAGCAACAGTGAAATGCTCGATCCGCATTTAAGAAATGGCGAAATGCTCGATCCGCACTTAAACAACGGCGAAATGCTCGATCCGCACTTAAGCAACGGCGAAATGCTAGATCTGCACTTTACTAACTGCGAAAGGCCAGATCTGAGCCCAAACACCAAGGCCCGCGACCTAAAAATTGGTCGCGGGCCTATTCGTCGACGAACACATTGGTGTTCGTCGAAGGCCTGTGTCGAACACGAACACGTTCGTGTTCGACGCGCCTCGGTGAGCTGAGCCGGGCGAACGGCGAACATGTTAGGGCGTACACCGAACACGTTCGCCCTGAACAATTCAGGCCAAAAAAAAATCCTGTTCGCTTCGCCTCGAATTGCTCATCCCTAGGGCCAACATTATTGGAGGGAGCCAATAATTCTACCCAACCCAACCTTTTGGGGTCCAATAATTGGACCAAGGTTGGGTTCCAGCCTACAAACTGGGTTACCCCTGTTTGTACACCCAAACTAAGTTTGGGTGCTTATCTCTAGCCTATCCTATAGCATGTATGCAGGTTACAAGAGGAGAGATATTCTAACAAGGTGCACATCATGTGGATTTCGGGCCGAGAGTAAATTTACTGGACAAGATTAAAGATAATAACGAGTGTAGCTCGTGCACGGGCAAAGAAAGGCGTGGTCTGTCTGTGAAACTCAAACGCCTGTTTGAAAGGAAAGTGGACTGAATCTCAGCTTTAGAGTATCGCGGTTGCAAGTACTTTCGTTCAATGAGTACCAGTGCAGTCTCCAGACGCAGACGCCAAGGAGCGGTGCGCCCCATTCAATGACCGCTCAGCCCTTTACTTGAGATGAGAGTTGTCTTTTGAGTCGACTCAAAAGTCAACCATTCAGTGACCGCTCAGCCCTGTACTTGAGAAATGAGAGTTGGGCTTTAAGCTCTCTTCTCGGCAAAGGGAACCTTACCTGCGTTCAATGAGCACGAGTGTAGCTCCAGACGCAGAAGCCAAGGAATGGGGCGTATTCGGTGGGAGATACACATAGGAGTCGTCCTGAGTGCAGAAGGTGCAAGGCAAATTGGTACAGATAGGGGAGGAGGGGAGTGGGATTGGAGTTGATTGGAAGCAGACTGAAAAAAAGAGTGGGAGGTGGCAGATACACATAGGAGTCGTCCTGAGTGCAGGAGGTGCAAGGCAATTTGGTGCAGATGGGGGAGGAGAAGGGGATGATTTGTTTGGAAGCAGAGTTGCAAACACATCGGGGGGTATTCAGTGGCAAACCCACATGGGAGTCGCTCTAAATGAAGTAGGTGCAAGACGAGTTGGTACGAATGTGTGTGTCTTGGGGTGAGGGGGGTGAGGGGGGAGGTAGGGGTTGCATGCGGTAAAAAGCTTCTGGGTGATGTTTCTTTCCTCTCTTTTCTTTTTGGTGAAACCCTTAAGCCCATGTGCGTACCGTAAGATCCTCCTGCAGAACAACGGATCTTGCACAGGTGCTCCCAGCATCACCAACTGTCGAGCACTGATTGGCCACACCCCCTTCATTGGTCTCTCCTGGGGTCCCGTACTGAGTGAAGCTGACTTGCCCTGATACCACAAACACAAACCTGCAGCAACATAGCAATAAAAGAAGGCAGGCAGGAATTTAAGAAGGGAGGCAGGCTGCCAATCTCAAGGGTATCTCTCTTGAGACGTGCAATTTGTTACAATGTCGCTCTCATCAGAGTAGTCGCACACGCTAATATTTTTTTCTTATCTGTCAGAGTCTGCTTCATGCGTCCGATTTGCGTGATTGCTCACCTTGTTTCACCTCCTTGTCTCTCTTCCCACGCCTCACCTGCATGCCCATAACCCCCATGCCTCTCATCCCCATCCATCTCAGCCCCATGCCTCTCACCCCCATGCTTCTCACTTCCATCAATAATCACCTACATGCCTGCCTGCTTCGCTCACCTCTCCACTCCAGCCACTGGAGGGGCGGAAGAGGCATTGCCTGAAACAGCGAGCCGAGAGAGAATAACAAGCGAGGGATTTTTAGAAGGGAGGGAGAAATCTGTCAGGGTACAGTGCGGTAGAGATTGAAATCGCATGTGCTAAATCAAACTCAGAGTCAATAGCAGGAATATCAGATGTGGAACGCACAGAAAGAAGAGGGGAAAAGGGTGAAGGAACTTGATTCGGCGTAGGGCGGCTCGGCAGGAGCGACCACATGGTGTGCGGCTAAGAGGAGGGGAATCGCAACCTTAGAGCCGAAGCTGATAGAAGAATTGGTACCTTAGAGCCGAAGCTGATAGAGGAATTGGCACCTGACAGCCGAAGCAGGGACATGGCGAAGTGTGCACCGATGGCAGGGGTAACGAGATGTGCTGAGAGAGTGTTTTCCCTGCAGGATGGTGATGAAGGGTGAGGGAGGCGAGATGTACAGAGCTGGAAATTTCCCACCGCCACCCCAAATTTACAAATTCGCATACTGGCAAGGTCTACTCTCATGCACAATTTCTCACCCATCCAGATTGGCATCTTGAAAATTCAACGGTTTACAGTTTACTCCCCAGAAAGGGATCTCACCCACCCATCAAATTCACTCACATATTTGCAGACTCAAGGATACCCATATATCCCGGTTTACTCGCTGGAAATTCAACGTTCTTGTGTGATGGAGGTAGGGTTTCTCGCAACCGTGCTGCAAGGTCGACTTAAGTCATACTATATCTACTCAGGGGTCATTTTGGGTTACCCGAAACCAACCATCCAGGCAGCGGGCTGAAGACTCGGCTTTCTGGTGTGATCAGGGCATGGTCCCTCGCCACCACGCTGCGAGTGAATCCGGGCAGGACTGGAAAGGAGAAAAAAGGCGTAACAAAACCAGTAAGGAAACACATCTGTTATGATGCATGCAGAGATGACAATATGAAACAGAAAGGACCTCATCCCGTAAGTGAGAGTGTTATTGCATCGTTTTTAGTTCGAAAACCAATACCACGAAAATAATGCAAGAACTTGAATACAAGACGCGCAAAAGCGATCCTGTAGGGATCCGAAACAGAGGCACGCACCTTCCATGTGGACCATGTCTAGGGTGGGTTCCAGAACCTTCTCATACATGCCATTACCGCTCCCTGTGCCTGTCAATACGGGACGACAGGATATAAGTGCAAGAATGTCTTGCAATGTGACGTTAAAGTAGACTTAGAAGTCAGCTTTGATTCTTCTCATACATGCCACTACCACTCCGTGTGCCTGTCAATACGGGACGACAGCATATACGCGCGGAATGCAAAGCGATCCGGACGAAGCAGACGACCTTCTCTAGAAATCGCTCTAGTAAGTTTAGACGAAAAAATATGCTCCATTTGGGCGAGAAAGGGCGACTCCGTGTTGTCCTACCATCGGCAACGGCTTCGGAACCCTGCAGGATAATTGCGAGCGCGAAAGCTGACAGTGTTGCTAGAAGGTGACAGGCATGAAGAGATTTGAGCGCCATAGTCTGGAGCTAGTAAATTGGCGCGGCCACTAGAGACAAATCCAGTTCTGTGTGACGACTTCTGCAATCTAGCCAATAAACGGTGCAGGTGCGTTGCAGAAGCATGGTCTACTCAACCCTTAGGGCGTGTTAAATCGCAAACTCCAAAAATTCGGCCACAATCCGTCGGGCCGTATCTGCGAAGGTAACCAGCTTGCGACAATCGTAAGTCAAGTGGTGAACGTCGCAAATTTCGTTAAAGTTTTACGAATTTGATGGCCGTTTAAAAAGTCGACTCTAAAACGAGGCCGAGTCGACTCCTAAACGGCCAAGTATTCGACACAGTGTGCGACAAACGCCTTCGACGTCACACGGTATCGCCCAACGACAGAATTTGTGATCGCGTCAAATGAGTAATATCGCCGTCAATAGTGCGACCCCGTTGCACATACTAAACTACTATAGTAACTGCAAATTTAACAACTTTTCCGAACCAGCCTGCAATCCGGCCACCAAAGTTGTTAAATTGCCAAAACTGTAAATTTTTGCTGTTAAAGAGTCGATTCTGATTCGGCCACCTCGTCGTTGTTCGCAAAAAATATGACGACCATTTGGTCGTAAAAAATTCGGCCACACCCTATTTTCGGAATTGTGTGGCGATTTAACACGCCCTTAGCAAAAAGATTGTCAGAACATATAGCTTACCTGTTTGTGTAGGCTACAGCGGGGTATCCCATAGGGGGTACAACCCAATTAGGGTTTGCTATTTGTACTCATTTCTGACTTAGTCATTTCATTCCTCTGCTCATTTCTTTCACATGGTATAGAGCTAGGTCCCTCTAGGACCGTTTTCCTTGGGCCCACCGAAGCGCGCCCCCGAGGCGCGAAATTTTTTTTTTTTAGCGACCCCCCCCGAGTCGCCCTCTCTCCTGCGGCCCCGCCGCCCCCTCTTAAGCTGCTCCTACGCGGCCCCTACGCGGCTCCTTCGCGGCCCCTACGCGCCGGCTCCTACGCGGCCCCTACGCGGCTCCTACGCGGCCCCTACGCGCCGGCTCCTACGCGGCCCCGCGCCTGCTCCTACGCGGCCTCTACGCGGCCCCTTACGCGGCCCCTACACGCCGGCTCCTACGCGGCCCCTTTCGCGGCCCCTCCGAGCCGGCTCCTACGCGGCCCCGCGCCGGCCCCTACGCGGCCCTTACGCGGCCCCGCGTCGGCCCCTTCCGCGGCCCTTACGCGGCCCTGCGCCGGCCCCTTACGCGGCCCCTTACGCCGGCTCCTACGTGGCCCCGCGCCGGCTCTCCCTGCGGCCCCGTCGCCGGCTCCTACGAGGCCCCGCCGGCTCCTATTGCGGCCCCGCCGCCGGCTCCTACTACGGCCCCGCCGGCTCCTTTGCGGCCCCGCCGGCTCTCCAGCGGCCCCGCCGCCGGCTCCTTCTGCGGCCCCGCCGGCTCCTACTTCGGCCCCGCCGTCTCCTACTGCGGCCCCGCCACCGGCTCCTACTGAGGCCCCGCCGGCTCCCAAGCGGCCCCGCCGGCTCTACTGCGGCCCCGCCACCAGCTCCTATTGCGGCCCCGCCGGCTCCCTCGCGGCCCCGCCGGCTCTCCAGCGGCCCAGCCGCCGTCTTCAGACTGCAGCCGAGCCGCCCTGCAGCAGCCGAGCCGCCCTACAGCAGCCGAGCCGCCCGGGAGCCGAGCAGCCCGGAACCCGAGCCGCCCTGTCGCCGAGCCGCCCGGGAGCCGAGCCGCCCTGCACCCGAGCCGCCCTGTCGCCGAGCCGCCCGGGAGCCGAGCCGCCCTGCACCCGAGCCGCCCTGTCGCCGAGCCGCCCGGGAGCCGAGCCGCCCTGCACCCGAGCCGCCCTCCAGCCGAGCCGCCCGGGAGCCGAGCCGCTGTCCACCCGAGCCGCCCGGTTGCCGTGCTGCCGTCCGGTCGAGCTGCACGACCTGCCCTGCCTGGTGAGCACAGTCCCACTATCACTGCGTGCTCTTCCCCTACTGCCTCCACTGCTTCGCTGTCGTCGCCATGGCCACTCCTAGTGTCCTAGCTTTTGACGCTGAGGGTCGCGCCATTGATTTTGAGGTCTGGCTAGATGACCTGCAGCTGTTCTTACAGTGCGACAGAGCTGACGGCCTTTCCCTCTTTGACCTCACCTCTGGCGCCTCTCCTGCTCCTGCTGCTGATGCTGATCCCACTGTCCGCTCTCAGTGGGCCACCCGCGATGCTGCTGCACGTCTTGCTGTGCGTCGCCACCTCCCTACCTCTGAGCGCGCGCACTTCAGTCAGTACAAGAGTGCTCAGACCTTGTACGACGCTTGTAGTTGCGCGCTACTCCTCCCCTGCCACTGCTGCACTGAGCCGTCTCATGCTTCCCTACCTCTTTCCTGACCTCTCTGCCTTTCCCACTGTCGCTGACCTCATCACGCACCTCCGCACTAGTGACACTCGCTACCGCGCCGCCCTTCCTGCTGAGTTCTGTGCTAAGAACCCCCCCCCCCATGTACATCACTCTCTACTACGTAGTCGCGCGCCTCCCTGACTCCCTTCGTGTAGTCAGGGACCACTTTCTCGCAGTCTGTCCCACCACACTCACTGTCGACCTCCTCGAGAAGGCCCTCCTCTCAGCTGAGAAGAGCATAGTTGCTGTAGGGGCTTCTCGTGGTGACCCTCGCACCCCCATCTTTGAGGGGTGCTCTCCTTCCCCCTTGCTGCCCTCTGTTGCCTCTGCTGCTGCTGCCGACCTGCTTGGTCTTGAGTCGGTCGGCGCGGCGTCTGCCCCTAGTGGGAGACGTCGCTCCAGCAAGGGCAAGGGGGGCAAGGGCGCGGGTGGAGCTGGAGGGAGCGGTGGAGGTGGCGGCGGTGGCGGCAGCGGGAGTGGGGGTGGCGGCGGGAGTAGTGGTGGTGGTGGTGGTGGTGGCAGCAGCGGCGGAGACGGTGGTGGTGGTGGCGGCGGTGGTGGGGGGTGGCAGCGGCGGAAGTGGAGGCGGAGGCGGTGGAGGCGGTGGAGGCGGCGGCGGAGGAGCAGGAGGTGGTGGAGGGAGCGGAGCTGGTCGAGGTGGTACCCAGCAGCGTAGTGGCGGTGGTAGTGGCCAGCGCTCACAGCGGCAGCAGCAGCAGCGCTCACGTGACATCCCTCCGCCCCAGCAGCTTCGTGAGTGGTACGCTGGGCGTCAGAGGGGTGGGGGTACTGGTCCCTGCACCTACGTTCTTCGTTCCGGCGACCGCGCGGGTGAGCAGTGTGGGGGTGCCCACGCCACCGCGCGCTGCTTTGGCCGCCTGACGGACGCTTGGCGTCAGCAGTTCCCCGGGGCTAGTGAGATCCCTCGTTGGGATGAGCTCCTTAGGGCTGGTGTAGCGATCTTTGATCTTGATTTTGATGCTATCCTTGCTGCTATGTATGCTGTGACATATAGTGAGGAGAATGAGGGTTACCGGTGTTTCCAGCCCGACCCGGGCATTGGTACTGCTGCGCTAGGTGCTTGTGAGGCTGCTGCTCTAGGTGCCAGTGCGTCTGCGCTCTCAGGTACTGGTGAGGCTGCGCTTTCAGGTACTGAGTCGTCCTCGTCCTCCCTCACTTTCACACTTGACTCCGGAGCTTCTCGCTCCTTCTTCCGAGATCGCACTACCCTTACGCCGCTTGGCCGGCCGGTTGCGGTCTCCCTGGCTGACCCCTCTGGGGGTCCTGTCCTGTCTCACTTCTCCACTGTCCTCCCGTGTCCGGCTGCCCCTTCGGGTGCTCTGTCTGGTCTGTACCTTCCCTCGTTCTCGACGAACTTGGTGAGTGGTGCAGCCCTACAGGATGCGGGGGTTCACCAGTTCACTCCTGCGAGTCAGCGGGTGACCCACTGCACGGACGCACGCACAGGCCGACACCTGGCCACCTTCTCGCGTCGGCCGGGGTCGAGTCTCTACACCCTGACCACTTCGTCTCCTCCTGTCCCTGCGTCCGGTCAGGTAGCTGCGTCAGGTCAGGAGCTTGCCGCTGCGTCCCGGTCAGGTCCTGAGTCTGCCCCCTGTTCTTGTCGTCTCCTGTCTCACGAGACTCTCCTGTGGCACCACCGTCTTGGCCACCCCTCCTTGCCCCGTCTTCGGAGCATGGCTTCCCGTGTCCTTGTCTCTGGTCTTCCCCGGTCTCTCCCTCCTCTCCCCTCCGGGCCAGGACCTTCCTGTGTCCCCTGTGTCGAGGGTCGCCTCCGGGCTACTCCTCACTCCTCCCACTTCCCCCCGACAGAGGCTCCCCTGCAGACGCTTCACATGGATGTGTGGGGCCCAGCCCCCGTCCGTGGGCAGGGTCACGAGCGCTACTTCCTGTTGGTGGTTGACGACTACTCGCGTTACACCACAGTCCTCCCCTTGCGCAGCAAGGGTGCGGTCACTGAGGTGCTGATCGACTGGATCCGCGAGGCTCGTCTCCAGCTCAGGCAGAGCTTCGGCTCGGACTTTCCTGTTCTGCGTCTGCACTCGGACAGAGGCGGAGAGTTCTCCTCTCGCCTTCTGCGAGACTACTGTCGGGCACGGGGGATCCGCCAGACCTTCACGCTTCCGGACTCTCCACAGAAAAATGGGATTGCTGAGCGCCGCATTGGCATGGTCATGGATGTCGCTCGTACGTCCATGATGCATGCGGCTGCCCCCCATTTTCTGTGGCCGTTCGCGGTGAGGTACG